CATGTACACCAGTGTCTCGCCGTAGGCGGGCTGCGGGGGACAGCAGAGGCAAGGGGCAGCAGGGCAGGGGGCACCAGCCGTCAGCACTTTCTGCCTTCCACCCCGGCGTGCTGCCAGGAGTAACATGGGCCCGGCGGGCCCCGGAGGACCGCGCCACCACGCGCACTCCCCATCCCACCACCAGCGCGCCTCCAGCACTGCTGCGTGCACGCATCCTGTCACACACGCATGCTTTCTTTTTGCCCGCCTCCCGCACCTGCAGGTAGTCCATTGCCAGCTCGAACTCCTTGTCTGCCCCTGGGAACCCCGCCCAGGCAAAGCCCTGCCGCCAGCCGCGCTCGTACACAAACGACACCAGCGGGGAGCGGAAGATGGTGGTACCGCCCCACCAGCTCTGCTGGTACGCCTTCTGCTGGATGCCGCTGGTCAGCGTGAGGTCAGCGTAGGTGGGGGTGGAGGCCTGCGAGGGCGGCGGGCGGCGGGGTGTCGGCACTTGGGGAGACGCGGCAGCGGCGTGGGCGATGGGCAGCTCCGTGCAGAGGCAGGCGCTGGGGTGGTGCGCCGTGTCGTCACCGCTCACAAAGGTGCGGTTGCAGCGCGGGCAGCTCAGGCTGCCCGTCGGCCGGCCCTGGGTGTTGCGCAGGGGCAGCTTGGTGGACAGGCAGATGGGGCAGGCCAGGTTGAAAGTGGGGTCGGAAGAGCCGGAGGAGGCGGCGGCGCTGGGAGCGGCGGCGGGTCCGGAGGCTGCCGCGCTGGCGGCGCCTGCAGCGTCCTGCACCTGGGCGGCTGCGTGCACCCTGGATCTCTGCGCCCTGCGTGTCGGGACGCGCTGGCAGGGAGGCGAGGCGTCAGGTGGGCAGGAAGCAGTGTGGCGGCACTACGGCGTGGTGTGACAAGCCGGCGCCTGTGGGAGCGCAACGTACCTGGAAGCCCGTGTGTAATGGGTGGGAATGGCGAAGCCCACCACCCGGACAGCGGGCAGGGCGGGGGCCTTGCTAGCGGCCCGCACAGAGCAGCGCACGCGCTCCATGGCTGAGAAACGTCGATAGAAGTCACCTCCTGGCGGTGGATTGGAGGTCAGCCGGCCGCCATTGGCTGCAGGTTCCAGACATGGGCGCCAACATGGCGGCCCGCCCCGCTGGCGCCGCTGTCCGCCATAGGCTGCCCCATTTTGCCCTCCCCGGGATTGCTATGCGGGTGTTCATGTTCACATGAAGGGTCGTCGAACATGGGAATTAAATTAAAACACCATATTGGTTGCACTAGGCGTCTGTGAGGCCATGCGCCGCCGCCAATCCCGGCATGGGAGCTGTCAGATGCTGCAGTGGCCGCAGGGGTGCTGCTGGCGCCCGTGCCGCCAATCGCAGGGCGGCGTGGCTGATCACAGGTAGGGATGGCCACCACCCGCCAGTCGGCATGCCTGTTGCTCTGCTGTCCCCTTGGCCGACAACGAGACTTACAGCAGACGCAACCGCCAGCTGCACACGGCGTGCGCAAGCCAGCGCAGGAGAAGGGAGGAAAGCGCATGCGGGAGGAGGCAACCTCGTGGATACTGGTGGGGCGGACCCCAGGCCAGCCCCGCCAGCCAGCTGCCACGGCAGCCGGCGTCGCCTCACAGCCCAAACCTGCGCCGGCTGCCGGTGGCCGGGCGTGAGGAGCCTGTCATGGCGATGGAAGTGCGCTGCCGCTCCCGCACAGCCTCCTCCTTGGCCGCCTCCTGCGCCGCCGCCGCCTGCTTCTCCACCTGCACCTTTGTCATCTCCAGCTCCATCTTGCTGCGGGCGTCCCGCTCCTGCACACAGCGGGGTGGCAGCAGGCACAGCAGGCCGTTGGCAGGGAGGTGGCGGCGCGGCGGCAGGGCATCGGCGGCAACGGCAAAGCGTGGCAGCGGGTCCCTCAGCAGTGGTTACAATGGGTGTCGCAATGGGGCGAACAGGCGGGCAGCGGGCAGCGGGCCCACGCCGGCACACCAGCCCGCCGGCCATCGCACGAGGGCAGGCAGCCGGCGAGGGCGCAGGCCCTCTGCAGGCAGGCAGGGCGTCCCGCCAGGCAGGGTGGGGCCGCGTGGCCCGCTGCAGGTCGCACCTTCTGGCGCTGCTCCAGGCGGGAGGTGTGGGTCTCCTTGATAGAGAAGAACATGGGGCCCAGCTCCGCCAGCCACTCAGGCTCCACCGCAGTGACGCACTGCAAGGAGGGAAGCGAAGGGGGGGATAAGGGAGGGGAGCCGGAGCAGGTGGGCGGGGCCGGGGCGCGGTGGGGAGGGCAGCGGGCCCAGCGGAGAGGCGGG